CGCCTTCACAATGTTACAATGAGTTGTGCCTCTAACACGCCTTCACAATGTTACAATGCGTTGTGCCTCCAGCACGCCTTCACAATGTTGCAATACTTTGTAACTCCAGCACGCCTTCACAATGTTGCAATACTTTGTACCCCCAGCAAGCCTTCACAATGTTACAATACTTTGTACCTCCAGCACCCTTTCACAATGTTACAATGCTTTGTACCTCCAGCAAGCCTTCACAATGTTACAATACTTTGTAACTCCAGCACACCTTCACAATGTTGCAATACTTTGTACCTCCAGTAAGCCTTCACAATGTTGCAATACTTTGTACCTCCAGCAAGCCTTCACAATGTTGCAATACTTTGTAACTCCAGCACGCCTTCACAATGTTACAATGCTTTGTACCCCCAGCACGCCTTCACAATGTTACAATACTTTGTACCCCCAACACGCCTTAACAATGTTACAATACTTTGTACCCCCAGCACGCCTTCACAATGTTACAATGCGTTGCACCCCCAACACGCCTTAAAAATGTCACAATGCGTTGTGCCTCTAACACGCCTTCACAATGTTACGATGCGTTATGCCTCTAACACGTCTCAACAATGTTACAAAGCGTTGTGCCCCTAACACGCCTTCACAATGTTACAATGCGTTGTGCCTCTAACGCGCCTTCACAATGTTACAATGAGTTGTGCCTCTAACACGCCTTCACAATGTTGCAATACTTTGTGCCTCTAACACGCCTTCACAATGTTACAATGAGTTGTGCCTCTAACACGCCTTCACAATGTTGCAATACTTTGTGCCTCTAACACGCCTTCACAATGTTACAAAGCGTTGTGCCTCTAACACGCCTTCACAATGTTACAATGCGTTGTGCCCCAACCCGCCTTCACAATGTTACAATGAGTTGTGCCTCTAACACGCCTTCACAATGTTACAATGCGTTGTGCCTCCAGCACGCCTTCACAATGTTGCAATACTTTGTAACTCCAGCACGCCTTCACAATGTTGCAATACTTTGTACCTCCAGCAAGCCTTCACATTGTTACAATACTTTGTACCTCCAGCACCCTTTCACAAAGTTACAATGCTTTGTACCTCCAGCAAGCCTTCACAATGTTACAATACTTTGTAACTCCAGCACGCCTTGACAATGTTGCAATACTTTGTACCTCCAGCAAGCCTTCACAATGTTGCAATACTTTGTACCCCCAGCACGCCTTCACAATGTTGCAATACTTTGTAACTCAAGCACGCCTTCACAATGTTACAGTGTTTTGTACCCCCAGCACGCCTTCACAATGTTACAATGCTTTGTACCTCCAGCAAGCCTTCACAATGTTGCAATACTTTGTAACTCCAGCACGCCTTCACAATGTTACAATGCGTTGTGCCTCCAGCACGCTTTCACAATGTTACAATGCGTTGTGCCTCTAACCCGCCTTCACAATGTTACAATGCGTTGTACAACAACACACCTTCACGGTGTTACAATGTGTTGTACAACAACACGCCTTCACAATGTTGCAATACGTTGTACAACAACACGCCTCCACAATGTTACAATACGATTTTCAACAACACGCCTTCACAATGTTACAATGTGTTGAAGGTGATCGCCTTATACCCAGCTGATAAGTTAACTATCTGAAACTTAAGATTAGATAAGTCCCGTTTTAATCACACTTTCAGCATTCTGAGAGGAGATAAGAGCAAATTATGAGCCTAGAAAACTACCTGAAAAAATCAGTTTATCTCGAAGAAGATATGCATGAATTACCCACTCGACGTATTACATCATAAAATGTGATGGATCGTTTTCTTTTCAGGAAATAAATTTTCTTTTTTCCTAACCTGTGTCTTGGTTTCGTGGGATTTTTAACGGTATATTGTTAATTGATATAACCAGATTGGGTTCATGTTACTGGTATCAAAGGAACTTGTAGGGTTTGCTTTGGAATTCATTACGTTTGGATGTCTCAGACTCTCCATTCAAGATTAATTTTGGCTATTTCAACCATGGTGATAAATTGTATTTTTTCATTGGGATTATCACTTCGCACACTCATAAATTCTTGGTTATGACGAAAATTATAAATTATGATTCATACGTTTCTCAATTTGATAAAAATCTCAGATAAAATCGCGAGGAATATGGCGGAGTTTTGCAACATATTGCCCTGATAATACATTTCGTACTGGACGGTAACTTATAATATCCCCACGTTTCACATACACAGAACGAGGTAGAAACTGCACGAGCCCGAACATGTTCAGTTGTAGTTTGTTGGGAGGAAAATATATAAATAAAGCTAAACTGCCGGGCCAAAAAATATACTCTTCAAAATTCACTTTACTTTTTGTATTTGTGTGTACTGTGACATTGCGACCCCATGTTGCTGGAGGCTTCATGTGCACGTCCAATGTGAGGGAGGTACTAATTGAAATGATGCATGTGATATCGCCTATGGTACCCGTATTGAATACATCACCATCGAATAACCATTTCTTACTTGTTTCATTTTAACTGCCATCAAACATGGTGTATACTTTCTTTTGCCCAGCAGTGTAGATTATATTGCACATATGTCATTTTATTTACAACGAACTTAAACATGTGTATAAAAACGTAAATCTTAACAGTAATATATTTAATGTGGACATGAGTTGGTAGGACTTGTTGACAACAAATCCTGGTTATTGCATTTTTCAACATGATGCATGTTTTCATGCATTTATGGATTTGTTATGTGTTATAAAATTCACTTTTCAAAAATTTGATCAGCTGTTTACAGAATAAGCTCGTTATAAGGCAAGGAGAGGTTGATCATATGGGATATTACCTTCAAAATAATCGAGAAGGGATGCCTGTAGGTGTTGTGGGTTCTGACTTGAGTCTCTGTATGTGTGAAGATGTCGGAGGTCTAGCATCTACTGTTGCTGATACATCACAGATAACGTCTGAAGTATTACAGGACCAACACCGAACCAGGCATTAACATTAAATTACAGTGTCCAGCTAATTAATTGATTGTCGTTTTATCAATATCCTCGCGTTATCGGGTTATTAGTATCACGGTGTACAAGGAAGGGCGACTTTTAACGCCACAGATCTGGAGATATATTGAACATAACTGAGATATAAATACATGGGTCTGCCCTGACTGTCTTGTAAACATGAACAGTCTATTGTCCGGACAGTGCATTTGTGCGAATTAATTTAAAATATAAATAGACAGTTCTTTCAATTTAAAATATTCAAGCAGATACAAAAATATAGATACCAATGATTTATAAACTATAAAACAATTTTGAAAAATGTTAAATGCAAACATATCGTAACGTATGCTCTAGAACGTTCTGCTCCCGTTGCTCTGGTCATGTTCTGTTCTGTCCAGAACACAATACCGAGAAGTTGATGTAGTATTGATTCGTCTATGAATTATGTGGTTTAGTATTGATCTGTATGTCTCGTCATTAAGTCTACAAATAGTACCCCCTTGCGGTTCAAACCCAGCTTTTAACGATTCTCCCCAAGGTATGTACCAGTGAGTCCCCCGGGACGGCCACACCGACCCCCATCGAGCTCCGTAATAACCGTATTACCTTGATGGGCGGGGTCAGCGCGGTGTCTATCCTTTTTACCATATTACTTTGTTTAATCTTTTTTTGATGTCCACTCTTCGTCCATGCCGTTGTATTTTGTCATTTATTTTCCATTTTCTATTTCACAAGCACAAACGACTTAGTGCAACCTTTAACCGTTACTGTCAGCGAAAAATGGATTTTCTATCTAAACCGTAGCACTAACGTGGTAATAAGACTCGTGCAATGACAGAACTGCCGGTAGAACAAAGCATCGCACAATCCCGCGAGATCCCACGAGACCGATTCCTACCGCGCGCACGTGAACGCACTTCTCTTTGAAATCATATTTCGCATTATATGCATAGCGGCCCATTAATTACAGTAATCCACAGATATTGGCGCGCGTATTAAGCTCCACAACAGCTCTTTTACAGATACCGACTCCATGATCTAACGGGTTAGGATCAAACGGGAGAACATCTTGTATGGTTGGGGGTTACAATTCTGGTTAAATGGGGGCTCCCGACGGATGGGGGTATTAAGCGGGGAAGGGGGGTGGGGTACGGGGGAGTGACGGGTGGCTTGATGAGGAGGGAAAGCGGGTGTGGGTTATGGCAATGTTTTGATATCGTTATCAGTGCAGCTCATTGAACCAGGAAAGGACATGAGAGAATTGACGTTGTTACTAAACCGGTATCAGAGTAAAGATAAATATAAAAGTAAATATAAAACTTTAAATACAGTAAACTACGTTTATAGGAAATACGCTTATAACAACTTACGTATATAACGAACTCTTTCTGGTCCGTGCATTTGTTGTATATATGCTGTATATATGCTTATAACGAACTACGGATATAACAAACAAAATTAGTTTTCCTTTCGATTTCGTTGTAACCGTAGTTTACTGTATATCGAGTGTTGTTTCGGTGTATCGGGTAAAACAGATGTATTGCGCCAATGAACTCGTTGAGTTGATATCTACTAATGTAGGGGCGGTCGGGTAGCCTAGTGGTTTAAGCGTTTGATTGTGACGCCGAAGGCCCGGGTTCGATTCCCGACATGGGTACAATGTGTGAAGCCAATTACTGGTATCCCTCGCCGTGATATTGCTGGAATATTGCTAAAAGCGGCGTAAAACCAAACTCACTCACTCTACTAATGTAACCTTCATACTCATTGGAATATCACTTTTACCTTGACCTGTAACTTGTTGTCATTTTACATTTATTATTATTTATTAGTATTAAATTGCTGTGGTATCGTTTATTCAGTAAATATGGAACCTTGTTAGTGAGTGAGTGAGTGAGTGGGGGTTTAACGCCGTTTTGAACAGTATTCCGGTCATATCACGGCGTGTCGGAGTGAGGAGTCAGACGTGATGCAGGTGTTAGACATTTGCCACGTTGATGAAACCTACGAAACCATCCGAGAAACAATCCGAGAAACAATCCGAGAAACAACCCGAGAAACAATCCGAGAAACAATCCGAGAAACAACCCGAGAAACAATCCGAGAAACAATCCGAGAAACAATCCGAGAAACAATCCGAGAAACAGTCCGAGAAACAATCCGAGAAACAATCCGAGAAACAAAACGAGAAACAACCCAAGAAACAAAACGAGAAACAACCCGAGAAACAATCCGAGAAACAATCCGAGAAACAACCCGAGAAACAACCCGAGAAACAACCCGAGAAACAACCCGAGAAACAATCCGAGAAACAACCCGAGAAACAACCCGAGAAACAACCCGAGAAACAATCCGAGAAACAACCCGAGAAACAACCCGAGAAACAATCCGAGAAACAACCCGAGAAACAATCCGAGAAACAACCCGAGAAACAACCCGAGAAACAACCCGAGAAACAACCCGAGAAACAATCCGAGAAACAACCCGAGAAACAACCCGAGAAACAATCCGAGAAACAACCCGAGAAACCCGAGAAACAAAACGAGAAACAACCCGAGAAACAAAACGAGAAACAACCCGAGAAACAACCCGAGAAACAACCCGAGAAACAACCCGAGAAACAACCCGAGAAACAACCCGAGAAACAATCCGAGAAACAACCCGAGAAACAAAACGAGAAACAACCCGAGAAACAATCCGAGAAACAAAACGAGAAACAAAACGAGAAACAATCATGGGAGTTCTGGAATTCGGACCCACACTGTGAAAACTGTGTTTAGAATGAAAACACATACAACTCATGTTTCGATCTAAATATGTTTAGGAATGGTTTAAATTCTAAACGGAATACACTTTAAGTGTGTTTTATCCTAACACATTTCGGATGTAAACACATAACATCTAGTCTGTCTTACAGACCCTGATACAAATATATATCAAATACAGCCCATGCAAGTCTATAATGTTTGGCAAGTCTAGATCACTGCAGTATCTGAAAATGAAGAGAGTCACTGGGCTCCTTTTTATTATATTTTTATTAAGATAACTAAACAACTGTTTTTTTATGTACGATATGTTCATTTCAGAGACTAGATTTTAGTCTAACATAACATCATGCAAGTCAAATATCGATAACATGTATAATGATTACTTAAAATAGATTTTACAATATATTAGATAACAAATTTTGAAATGATGTATTATGTTATGAAATATATTCATAATTAAACGTTGTTTAATTATGAACTATTATTCAAATGTTATTGTGTAAGAACATAATTCTGACGTTAATGTCGAACTAGCAGTTTTAATCATAAATACAAAAGTTATCAAATAGGTTGAACTTGGCAAAATGTTTGTCAGTCACACAGGCATTATCAAATCCTACTGCACACAAAAATACATCACAGTTCAGAAACATGTACACCTTATAATGTCCCGTTACTTTAGAGTTTAAAATATGTGTAGATCTTTATAAATTGTTACTGAGATGGAATATATGAGGATTCCATCTTGAGCGGTTAACACTGTGAAGAAACGCGCATAGTGTCATCCCCCCCCCCCTCCCCAGCCCCCAACCCCTTACCCCCCCCCCCCCCCCCCCCCCTACCCCCACCTCCTCCTTCCGAAAATGACACTAACGTTTACAATATAATTTCTAAAACAAAGGCAGTCAATTTGGAAGCTAAAATGAATGATTTGAGTATAGCTGAAGTGTATTCCACAGAATGTCGTTTATAGGAGACACCCTGGGCAATCCTGGGATACACGTTTAGCTGTTAAACACAACATGAAACATCTTTACATCCTAAACGTGTTTACATTATAAACACCACCCTAAACATGTTTAGACACCTAAACATATTTAGACACCTAAACGCGTCAAACTTTTAGGAACGGAACCCGTTTAAGTTTGTATTTTGGGACTAAACACACTTTTACAGGGCACAATCATAAATTCCTGGCACGACTAGGGTAGGCAAATCTGCACATCAAGTTCGACGACTAAGCTGGATTGACTAACATCTAGTCTCTTAAATAAACATATTTTACGGATGAAAACAGTTGTTAAATTATAGCTACAAAATATAATAAAAGGGAGCACAGAGACTCTCCTCATTTTCAGATACTGCAGTAATCTAAACTTGCTAATTATTATAGACTTGCATGGGCTGTATTGAATATATTTGTTTCAAGGTCCGGATGACAGTCTAGAGCCACCCGTGCCATGGAAGTATCGCGGTACACACGAAACACGTATTGCGCTTTCCCGAAAAATCCCATTTATATGCATCAATGAATAACAATTATATGGCTCAGTGCCTATGACATAAAGTGTACCACATATATACCATGGCAGACAACGTAAGGTGAAACACAATAGTTTAACGCTGGAATAGTATTACTACATCTCATGGATCCAATTAAAACCCATCCATTCACTACGTGCATTTGTATTCTTTGAATAAACACAATCTACATACATTGCCCCAGTATGCTGCTGAAACCGCTTACCATTGAGAACACTGCGTCCAGGGACGGAAACACAAAATATTTATTCAAGTTAGATATTCTATACTCTTTCTCACATATATTGTACGAAACTCGACAAGGATGTCCCAATTGTGTTGGTGCGGGGGTAGCCTAGTGATTAAAGCACTAGCGTGTTACGCCGAAGTTCGATTCCCAAAATTGGTACAATTTGGGAAGCCCATATACATGTTCAGTGTCCCCTGCCGTGATATTGCTAGAATATTGTTAAGAGCGGACGTATTGACTAATTTCCAAATACGATTATTAGTAACAAGTTCGTTACTCTCTCTCTCTCTCTCTCTCTCTCTCTCTCTCTCTCTCTCTCTCTCTCTCTCTCAGATTATGTAAGGTTTTAGATCCAAATACGGTTCAACTTTAACTGTAACATGAAAGAACACGAACTGATGGGCAAAAGAAAGTATACAGCAATGTTTGATGGTTAAAATGAATCAAACAAGAAATTATTATTCCATGGTTTCTGCGATTGATTTCAACCTTATAACGCTTTGATAACGTTTGTAATTTCTTGGTCAAATCCAATTTTCAAGTGTATGCTTTCTGTGCCAGGCAGTTTATTTGACATCATATATGTACAAACCCATGACATCTCGCGTTACAATACGTGGTCCGTGCCGGAGTCAATCTAGATACCATAGGGGTGGAAATTCGATCAAGTCACCAGTACTATGACCAATTACACGAACTCCGCATGTGTCGAATTATGTATAAGTTGAATGTATTCGATCGCCATCGAGATAAGGAGGTTTTAGTGCCTGCCTAAGCGCGCCAAGGCTCAACAAGAGAACATCAGTAGTACCGGTACTTCGTCATTATCTTCTTTTATGGAATATAACGAGTGGAAGTTCTGTCGCCGAGCTACAGGATCAACGACACAAAGAAGAAGAAATGGACACCGATCATAGACGTTTCTTGTCAATTATTCATTTCAAAACCATTGGGACAAACAAGCTACCGCAGTCTTCATCTAAAACGGTGCCAACTTTTAAAAACTTGAGAGACACGAATCTATCAAATATTTAGACATTGCTACAAGACAACCGATTCTAGTTTTGCATCCCACCGAGGACCATGGCTCACGGGTCTAGCAGCTTATCGATTTTGGGCCCTCGAACCCACTCGGTGCTCGATCCAGACCAGTGGAAAGCGAAGAACATATTATTTTCCCCGTATCCTATTAAATAACGTAAAATAATACACTGGCTGGGTAAAAGGAGACCTGTACAGTTCAAGCTGAGTGATGGGATATTCTCATAAACTAATTAAACATCGCTGCACGAGATTGAACAAGGGAAAATGGAGATAGATGCGGGCTGGTGGAGAGAGGAAATATCATGGGGAGCTTAAAGCAAAACACCGCCCGGCTTGGGGCCATGTGCACAAATACAGGCGTATCGGTGATCGTGGCCCAATGCTACCCTTATCCTGGTACACCAGTCTCGGCTTTGTAATTAACTCTTACAATGGCTACAAGGATGTTAATTAATCGCCTGATTACCATAATGTTGATTTCGTGTGTCAGGTCGACTGAAGTTAGACCGCAGCCTCGAGGCACTCTTGTGCTTTTCGTGTTCCTGTGTTTGCTTAATTGATTTTTATGTTCATATGATGTTCATTCACGAATTACATTGCTGTCGACATGCATTTAGCGATTCAATTTGTTGAAACGTTGTTTTTTGGAATTGTGGATTGCGGATTTCGTGGCTTTCATATATTAAATCACACAATGGTATTGGTGGTGGACGCGATGGTTGGCCGAAACACGTACCTGGTTTGTACAGCCGATTTGTACAACAGAACTGTCGTTCATCGCATCATCATCATCATCATCATCATCATCATCATCATCATCATCATCATCATCACAAGCGAAGAGACCGCCTCCGTGATCTAGTGGTAGACCGTCCGCCCGGAGAGCGTGTTCGATCCCCGGCCGCGTCATACCCAAAGACGTTAAAAGATGGTACTTGTTGTTACCCTGTCTGGCGCTCGGCATAAAGGGGCTTACACAAGGACTGGTCGGCACGGAGTTGGGTATTCATGTTAAAGTGCGGCATGATATCTCAGTGAGCTAGCACTATAAATCAGCACTAGTCCGGACGAGTACAAGCAACCACACACAAACACACACGTGCATGCACGTCGCTATATAAGTGCAATAATCTTGGACGCGACGTTAAACCCAATTTCACCTCCCCCCACCCAAGCGAAGATCTAAGTGAGAATTTTATTTTTACCCCTTTTATTTAAACAGAAACCAACAATCTCATTTGTAGAATTAATTCCAATTTTCAAAACAGGAATGATATTCAACGGATATTTGACAGAAATCTGTTCCAGTTCAAAGATTAGTTTATTCATGTCTCTTTTTGAAGTTGAAAATTCAAGTTTGTGAAAAGAGAAGGTTTTGAGTTAACGTCGTAAGGATTGAAGAGAGTCTACTTGTTTCTGTTCGAGTGGTATCGAGTGGTATGGAGCTTGGGACTGGCAACAGAGAGTGAGTGAGTGAACATTACTTAACGCCGCATCTCTAATTTTGCAGCCATTCGAGGCGAATGTTGTGGTGTCTGGTACGACGAGTCTGGTATGTCTTGTACGACGATGTCTGGTACGACGAGTTTGGTATGTCTGGTACGGCGAGTCTGGTATGTCTGGTACGAGGAGTCTGGTATGTCTGGTACGACGAGTCTGGTATGTCTGGTACGACGAGTCTGGTATGTCTGGTACGGCGAGTCTGGTATGTCTGGTACGAGGAGCCTGGTATGTCTGGTATGACGAGTCTGGTATGTCTGGTATGACGAGTCTGGTAGGTCTGGTATGACGAGTCTGGTAGGTCTGGTACGACGAGTCTGGTATGTCTGGTATGAGGAGTCTGGTAGGTCTGGTACGACGAGTCTGGTATGTCTGGTACGAGGAGTCTGGTATGTCTGGTATGACGAGTCTGGTATGTCTGGTACGACGAGTCTGGTAGGTCTGGTATGACGAGTCTGGTAGGTCTGGTATGAGGAGTCTGGTATGACGATTTTGGTATGTCTGGTACGACGATTCTGGTATGTCTGGTATGACGATTTTGGTATGTCTGGTATGACGATTTTGGTATGTCTGGTATGACGATTTTGGTAGGTCTGGTACGACGAGTCTGGTAGGTCTGGTACGACGAGTCTGGTATGGCTGGTACGACGAGTCTGGTATGTCTGGTATGACGATTCTGGTATGGCTGGTACGATGA